TACCGAAGAAAGTAATTTCCTGCCTTAAAGAATGAGAAGGCAAGAAGGTTAGGAGAAAATATTTGCAAAGCGCATATCTGATAATGGACTCCTATCCGGAATCCATGGAAGATACCACAGTTTAAAGATAGGAAATAAGCTAGTTATTGTTTTTGCTTTTTTACAATTGGGAAAAGACTGAACAGAGACTTCACCAATAGAAATGTGCAAAGGGCAAATGATCGCCAGAAAGCTGTTCCTCATACTAATACCGAATCAGCTACAAGTCAAAGGCAAGGTAAAGGCAGAATGAGATAGTATCTCATACCTATTTCAAAGGCTGGAACTTTTTAAACCAGCCGTACCTACTGCTGGCAAAGATGCAGAGCAACTGGGGTCCGGTGTGTTGCCAGCGGGGATGAATGTGAGATGGTACAGCCACTTCACAAACAGCTTTGCTGTTTCCTTTACATTTATACATAGATTTGTCTTGTAATCCATCAGCCCCATCCTAGGATATTTACTTGAATGAAATAGAGCTTATGTTCACACACACATACATCTACACACAAAACAGTAAACACAAATGTTTGAAACAGCTTCACTCATAACTGTCCCAAGCTGGAAATCAATCAACTGTGCCTCAACAGAGGACTGATGAGAACAAAGTGTGGTTCTTCCATACAATACTATTCATTAATAAACAAACACACAAGTAACACGCACGCAAGGAATTGTGACTCTCCAGTGAGAGTGCCGAGCAGAAGAAGAGAGGTTCCCAGGCCAGGTATGTGTGGCCCTTCTCTGCTACATTTTTTAAAAAACTAGATGGCAGGGCAGAGAAGAGAGTAGAGTTGCCAGTCACACAAGGAGGCAAGAGGAGTTGACAGCAGAGCGACAGGGGGGAGTTGGTGGGCGGGGTGAAATCCTTCCACATTTCAGGATACAGGCAACAAAATATACGCACATCTCAAACTTGCTCTAAGGGGTGGTTTTCCTCTATCTAAATTACATGTTAGTTTTTAAATGACAAAAAAAAAAATTCAGACTACAGTATCATAAAATGCAATAAAATTTAACTTCTGAGAAAATTATATTAAAAAGATTTATATAATGCCAGCCCAAATTCTTCAGTATTAGGTTCAAGGGAACAGCAAGAGGTGAGAAATGGCTAGTAGCACCTGCTCTTCTTGCAGAGGACCTGGGTTCAGTTCCCAGTACCAAATGGTGGCTCACAACTATCACGAACTCCAGTTCCAAGGGATTCAGCATCCTCTCCGTTCTCTGCAGGCACCAGGTACACATGCACACATGGAGGAAAACACTCAGAGCCACATAAAATGAAAGCAAAGAAAATAAAAAAAAAAAAACCTTTGCAAATTTTTATTTCTAAATACCCAATTTCAGCTCCCATATTATGGCATCACTGGGTGGGGAACAACTCTGACTTTGAGACGTTTGTCGAGAGCCTTCTCAGAATCATTTCTGCTTCTTCAGAGCATCCCGGTTGCCCCGTGTCATGGCCTGCTCAGTGCAAAGAAAACCCAGCCTTCCCCAGTCTCCAGTGGGATATAACGCTATTCCCTGTATACTCATCACAAATAATTTAAGCCTTGAGCAGATAGGAGCCAATGACCACTTTGAATGCCATTGATTGGATCCAAATGCTAGCAGTAAGTACCTGCTAACACGTTTCTGTAGCTGGGATTTTGCTTTTCTGTTTCCTAGCCTTTGTCTTCTTGGTCTCCTCCTATCTCCATGTCTGGGCATCTCTTGGGAGAGAACTACATTTCTCTCTCCAGCTAGGGGAAGAACAGCCCCACTTCCTTGGGGACCCACATCTTATGGAAACAACTTCCCTTTACATTCTTCTTCACCTTATATGTTGACTGTAGCTGAAGCAAGAAGCCGTTGGAACCACATAATCCATCTGTTTCTCAAAGTCTAGTTTTCAAGATCATCACCTCACTGGGGACTCAAAAGAATGGAAGCTGAGATCCAGGATGCACCTGGAGTTGTTGGAATGCAGTTAGCTGTAATAACAATTCATCACAGACTTGAACCCCAGAAGATTATTTGTCCTCCCCACTGACAAAAGGCTAAGATGTGCAAAAGCCAATGCTGTTATGCGGCTTAGCAGCAAGAGGGCTGCTGGGTCTCCCTCTAATTTCACACAGCCACTCTCAGCCAGTTTCATGCCTCCTCTGGTGGTGATAAGATAGTTTCTGATGCAAAGCCCCTCTTGTCACCTCAAAAGGAAGACAAAGAAGAAATAAGTTTCTACTCATGAGACCCTTGGGAAGAAATTAATTTTTCCCAAAGCTTCTTGTCAGTGTCTGGAGACACTGACAAGTGTCTACTCTCCTGATGCCAAGTAGGCTGGGGAAAAATGGTTGACATTACTCACCGTGTATGTGAACCAGGGTATGCGACAGAGCCCTGTATCCCGAGCCACTCCTATTTTCTCTTATGCCAACAACACTGGTGACCAACTTTAATAGTAGATTAGTAATAGAAAACGGAATTCCAGAATGCCAAAGGGAAAGATGTCAGAGAGTCTTTTAAAATGTCATCTCCATCAAAGTGTAGTTACACAAGCTGGATCTCTGGCTTGCAAGATGAAAAGTGGGCATACTAATGCATACACTGTCAGGGTCTCTTGGGAATTACACAAGACAGCATGAGCTAAGCACTTGCTTTCTACCTGGGGCACAGTACATATCTCTTAGCAGTGGCGATTGTTAGAGATTCAAGACAGAAGTGTATGCAAAAGTGTTAAGTAGTAATGACATATTTTTAAGCAGACTAGAGGTTGAAGGGGGGGGATTGGTTTTCTATTGGAATCATCTGGAAAAGCTGCTCTGTACAAACAGGATATGAGCTAGCCTGAAGAGGTAGCTAGAATTTGTATAGTAGAAACCAGAAGTCCCTGAACTGGGACAAACAGCAAGTAGGGGGTAGGCTCAGTCTACACATGGGCTGCTTCATGCTATAGGAAAGACTGAGGTAGGTCCTGATGTCCAGCAAGTGCCTATTGTGTACAAGGCACACTGTGTGTGTCTTGGTTACGTTCTCCAATAACCTTTATTAGAGTGAGATATTAGCCAAAGTTTTCCAGGGAAACAACCAATAGAATGAATATTTGTCAGCTAAGGGTGGTGTAACAAAACCCTATGTCAAAGTAACCTAATCCACAGGAATATACCTTTTCACAGTGCTCAAGGCTGGAAGTCAGAAATCGGATACCACGTTATGGTAAAAAATCCTCTTGGTGACTTGCAGATGGCCATCTATTTGAAGTGGCCTTTTTACTTACAAGCCACTAATGCTGAAATGAGAGTCTTTGTCCCCACCCTGCCCCGTGCAACTAACCTAACAAAATTCTCTTCCAAAGACCCTTCTAAATACCGTCACACTGGGGGATAGGGCTTTGCCATATGACTCTTGAGGGTCATATTAGTCCAAAGCAGATGAGGAAATGTATAGGCAAGCTTTATGTTAAGGACTCATCTCACCAATGAGTACAAGCTCAGAAATTCAAACACTTCCTGGAGAAGCCAAGGGCTGGATATTCAGGAAAGAATTACAGCTTAAATAGCAAACTGCAGTGCACTGTGGGACCAGAAAGAGCCAGTCTGGCACATGAGGCCTGCAAGAAGTCTCTAGCTCACCCTTCAGTACTAGCTGAACTTTCCACTCACTGGACAATATAATCCCTAAGGCCATCCTTTCTACTCAGAGCTCAAGGACTTGAATGTAAACATCATCTAAAAACACCCTCGCAGAACAATGTCTGAACACCTGGATGCCGAGGCCAGTTAAACAGACATAAAAAAATAGTTATCACAAGTGGATTTTATTTTTATACTGATAGCTTCATTTTTGAAGCTCTTTTGATAATAGAAATCTCTCTAACGTAATACTAGATGTCTGTAAGACCATCTTGAAATTATATTCCCTGCTAAGCTAATTTATTTATTTTTGGGGGATGTTTCATTTTCAATCCTATGTTATTGTAGAGGATGTTATTTAACCATTTTTAAAATGTAAACCATTTTATTTAATTTGTAGTGGGGCAGTCATATACTTTCAAAAAGTTTCAAAGCTTTACTTATGTATTCTATTATTACCACAAATATGCTCACCTAGCCTTTGCTATGTTTAGCCTCTTCACCTTCAGAGGTGATGCAGGGGCATGGTCATCAGGGAAGACTAAGATTCTGGGTTTTCTGAAAGAATTTTGTAGAGACCAGTGGTTTGTCTAAAAGGAGGTCAGCTTTCAAATGTGATCCAGCAATAAATAATATCCACACAGATGGATTTCAATCCTGTTTTATGTAGCGAAACTGAGGCTCGGGGAGGTGAAGTATCTTGTCACAGCAAGATGGTAATGAAGCCAAGGTCTGTCTGAATCTATAATCCATGTCTTTGGGGGATGTATTGAGGCAAGAAATTCATTTTAGTAGCACATCTTGATCCAGGAGAGAGACTTGGATTAGCATGTGGTCCTGGGCGTTTCACAGTCACCACAGGGCTCCACCATACAGACACTTCATTTACCTTTCACAAGTGAATGGTAGGGAGATGGTGGGATGGACTAAAATGTTTCTGTTCTGGGCAGTTATGGGTGGAAAAAAGCAACCAGTTATTGATATTTCTTCACATCTTAGTCTTATCATCAGGCTATTAACAACGGTTTATATAATAGGCACATGTGCTTATGAAAATTGAATATTCTAACATTAAATTTTTAAAAAGTCAATCTTTCCATTGCACATTTTGTCTTTTAAATGTTTAGCAGCCACAAATGGCTAGAGGCTGCATACTGAACAGCAGAGACCTAGAGCATCATAGAAAGTCTGTGCTCTCCTCCAGAGAGTCTGCCCATCACAGTGCATGTCATGTCCCTGAGCATGTCACTTGCACTCTGGGGCTGGATTATGAGAAAACATGCAACTATAAACCCAACCAATCTCTCCATCCATGGCCTTTCCCACATAGAGCTGACCCCCAAAGGCCGGGCCTCGGGGCGTGCTCTTACCTCCTGGAAGCAAGCGGAGCAGTGAGGCGCAGTTCTGGACCCCTCCGCAGAACAGAGGTGCCACTGACATTTGGCTCCATTCAAGCTATAAACATCTAACAAGCTCCAGATGCACAAGTAGTAGATTTAAAGCCCTGTCAATATGGACACTAAGGTCTGAAATGAAACACTTGGCGTCCGATTTGGCTAAAATGTTAAATTTGCAATTTATTGGCTCAATAAAGCATGAATGCTAAGAGCCAGTTTTCAGGTTGGAGCCTCTGCACGTGTGTACGCGTGTGAACACGTAAGTGTAGGGTTTTCAAGGCAAAGTTAACATCATTAAAAAAAAAGCAAAAAGCAGTGTTCAAAATATAGCTTCAGTGGGCAGAATCATTTTTAATGGGCCCCAAATCTTAATTGTGTTATACATGTAGTTACACAAAATGTTTTCCTGTTTTGGATGATAAAAAAAAAAAGTCGCTGATAAGCTGCAATATCAGTGAAGAGTCGTAATGAGAGAGAGTGGAAGAAATTGGAGCTGTCAGAAATGCGAGCTTTCCCAGGGGCTGTGGCTTTGCCTTCCAGTGTTTTCTTCTGGAAAGACAGGTGGAAATTCACTGCTACAGATGACCAGCCTTGGTGGAAAGTGAAGCCTGGGAAGGTCTGGGGCTGTGGAGAGAGCCGAGGAGGCCATAGTGAAAGTCTGGCTCAAGATAAGACTGACAATTAAGAACAAAACATCTGCCTTTCCTGATAGGCAGAAAGCATGAAGTGACTCCTTCTTCCTCTGACACCAGTCTCGGCTATGTCTGATGTCTGTCCTGTGTCCGGTGTGAAAATGGGAAGGTAGAGTAGATACCCTTTCCTCTCTTCCTCCCACAAAGCTTAAGGAAACCTTGATCTCATAGACAAAAGAAACAGAACTTGAAAAAGTGAGAGGAAACTGATAGACTAGAGGAACAAAGGGCGGTAGATTTCCTAGGTTGTTTTAGTTTGTTTGTTTATTGTTTTCTTGTTTTGTTTTTGTTTTTGTTTTTTTGCTTCAAACACCCCTGATGTGAAGTGGAAGAAACTAGGTAACTAAAAAGCCATCCAGCATGGAACACAGGAAGAAAAAGGTGAGTAACTATCTCAAAATAAAATATTTCGTTAAAAATGGAAACCATCCACCTTCTCAGACAAATAGCTTTGCAAATTATAATCAGATAATCTGATTTTTAATGCCCTCCCCACCTCCAATACAAAAATCATTAAAATGAAATAATTTCTGTTAGAAAATTACATTGGACAGTTTAATTACTTCTAAAGCACTTTACATATCCTCATCATGGCTGTGTATGCTTTATTAACATTCCAGAGCCTTTGGAAATAAGCTCACCATATTAGTCATCCCTGAGGCTTTCCTCTCCCACCCCAGGCCTGGATCTGTACATCTAGGCTGTACCCCAGCTGTCAGGACAAACGGTTACGCATACTATTACATTTGGTGACTGTAACAAAATAACACCTGTTCCTTTAAATCAGTGTTTCTCGTGCACTTAGGTCTGTGTGTGCATAAAAGAGACCCAGATGTGTTAGTTGGTAATGAGAAGGTAAGGATTATTTATTTGGAAATGAACACTTTTCTTGACCGCATCTCCTACTGCCTGGGACCAAACCGGTGCACTGTGCTTGGAAAACAATGATGCCCATAGAAATTGTTTTCCATGGCTTTGGCAACTGTACATGAGACCTGGAGGTAGAGAATAATGTTTGCTGAGAGAGCATCTGGTTTATTGAAAATGCATTTGAAGGCTTTACCAACAGAACTGCCTCAGAGTTGAGTGCAATTAAGACAGCGAAGTCTCACTTTGTAGTATTCAAAATCTGCCGTAAGCATCATGGCTTTGGAATTGGGATGCGATCCTCACCATCCTCAAAGCCAAATGCCGTTGTGGGCAGAGAAGGGGTAAAATTGATGTGACACTTTCTAAACTGTCTGCAAAGATGCCTACAAGATACAACGGCCCTTTCTCCACACAGCTATGGGATGCATTGATGTAAATAAATATAAAAATGGCTATTAAGTTTCCATTCTACTTCATGCACATGGGTTTAATATTAATAATTAAGGGAGGAAAGCTGGCAAAACACATACAAAACTTAGCCAAACCCCAAATGCTTGAGAAATAAGTCAAGATTTTTCTGAAAACATAGACCACTACTGGGTTTGCCCATCCCTGGTGACAAGAAACTGAGAAACTGAAACTAACTCCATTTAACTCTCCTCTCTGTCCCAGCAGATGCTCCAGTTCCCTCCTGCCAAGAAGCCAGTGGATTGGCCTTCAGAGCCAAGAACAAAGTGTGGGTCCCCACATGGCCACCATTCTGTGGAGACAGCACACTCAGATCTCACAAGCCAGAACTGTCTGCCCTCCACCCCAAACAGGATGGCAGATTCCACTTTTCCTAACCTCCCTCCTGAAGGGCAGATCATCCCACACCATGGGGGTGAAATAATTGTCACCGATCCCAAAGGATCCGAGGTCTGTGTCTGTCCTGTCTTGGAGTCTGTCTGATGACATGACAAGACTTAATTTAGTTCTGGGATAACATTGATATCCATTGCTGTCATGAAACCCACAAAGGAAGCAGAGAAGGGGACTGGGGTCGCAGCTGGGGAGCTGAGAAGTTAGAGGGTAGGGTGCATGCAAAGCCCCTGCCAGTTCTTAGCCATGTCTGTTCGACAGGATTGTGCAGTCGAAGGTTTGGGATCATGACTGTAAAGAAGAATACAGACTTTATAATATATCATCACCCACGTTTCAGATTATGGTTTGTCTCTGAAGTGTCCTCCAGAGTCTCTTAGTGAAAGCTGGTCTCCGAGCTGGGGGCAATATTTTGAGAAGCTGTAGATCTTTAGGGGCTAAAATATAGCTGGCAGATGCAGGTCCTTGGGCAAGGGGGACTCCAAAACTTACACCCAGTCTCTACTTCCGGCAGCTTCTTCCTCCTCCTGGCCCGCCACTATGACCAGCCTCTGCCATATACCCCTACCGCAAGAAATTGTCTTCACCACTATAAGGACTGAAACCCTTTGAAACCCTGAGCCAAAATAAATATTTCATTTCGTAGGTTGCTTCTGTCCAGTATTTTGGTTACATATGGTCATATGCAAAGGGGATTATGACATCATCTAATCTTCATGATAACTGAGCAAATATTGTCATTCTTCAGAGGAGGAAATGTAACTCCCTGTGGTGGCAGGGAAGGGAGGTAGCCAAGTCCGCAGTGGCTAAGGGGCAGCCCGGACTTAAATCATGTTCCAAGCTGAGGGCCCTGCTCAGCTGCTGTTGCCGGGGTAAGTGGAGTCTTTCTGGGAGGACTCAGCAGCCACGGGATGCTGTGGCGCATAGTCGGTGCTCATGCACACGGACGGGACCGTGGAACGCTGCACTCCGGAGCTCCGCTGCTCTGGCTCGGATTGCTAAGCCGCAAGCTCACCGTTGCCTTCCACTCACTTGAATTTTCACTCTCTGGCAGTGCTGACCAAAGTATCTCTATGTGGAGATCCCAGACTCTTCTTATGGAGCTTGAGTACCACAGAGTCATCATCGAAAGCTCCCACGGACAAAACGTCTCAGAATGTCGAGGAAACATAGCAACCTGACTAACATGAGGATTTCAACCAACCAAACAGAAACAAAAACCTGAAGGTTTGGAGAACTTGTAGTGGCTTTTTTCCCCATTAATTAAAAGGTATAGAGTCTTCAAATTCAAACTTGTACAAATAAACTCAGTTGTCAGTATACATGAATGTGTTCTATTTATGAGTATATGTTCTATTGTGGTGCAAATACAAGTCTATAGTTTTCTAAAGCACTCTCTTTTATATTAAGATACACTCTGCCTAATCCCTCTCCAGAAGCCAAACCAAGTGATACCTACTGATATCAGAAAGAGTAATTTTGTCTAATCTGTAAGAAATTGTTTTGCCCTTCACCCTTATATACTTTGAAAATGTTTTATTGAAACTATGAAGCGAAATGTTGAAAAGAAACCAGACCTATGATTACTATTTTGGTCCAAATGAAAGTATTAAGATCAGCAAGACTCACAAGAAAATGAACTCAGTGAAGTTTTCAACTTGTTCTTCTTTTTCTCTGAAAAAGAAACATACCCGATAAACTTAAAGAGACAAGATAAAATGCATCTCTATTAGAGAAAGGTTAGGAGTTATTACTTTTTAAAAACACTTTATTTGTTTCATGTTTTTCTGTGCATTGTTATTGTGTCTCTGTAAGAGTGTTGGATCCTCTGGAGCTGGAGTTACAGACAACTGTGAGCAGCATGTGGATGCTGGGACTTGAACCTGGGTCCTCTAGAAGAGCAGCCAGTGCTCCTAAGGGCTGAGCTATCTCTCCAGTCCATTGTTTTTTGGTTTGGTTTCAGTTTCTGATTTCATATAGCAAGAGTAACTAATTAGAAAAGCATTTGGAGGCTGAAGAGATAGCTCAGCAAGAAAAGCACTTGACACCAGTATAAGAGCACCGCGCTTCAGCTCCCCTAGTAATGGGGTCGGTGTGATAGCCTATGTCATCCAGAGATTGAACTCAGGACATGAGGCTTGGCCACAAGGGCCTTTCCCCACTGGGCTGATTTATCAGTCAATTATGTTATTATGTTATTTAACCCACAACTTAAAAGATTTTCTATAAATGAACATTCTCTAACCTGTTGGGAACACTACTTCAGCAGTGAGAGCAAATGGTATTTTTTTTGGGGGGGGGGAGCTAGAGATTGCCTTTTTGCTATTCTGAAACTTTCTAGAAACTGCAAATGGGAGAGGAAAATGGCAAGTAAATTAGACAGGGGAGGCAGACGGGAAGGGAGACAGGAAAGGAAAAGAAGAAAATGTGTCAACAGGGCAAGAGTCACAGGAGAAAAAATGAAGCAAGAAGAAAACCACCTTTGGGTCATGGTGGGTTGCAATCTAAATCTAAGTCATTTTCTATCTAGAGGGGGCTTCACGAGGTCTTTTGACTCGGTGGTCACCATATCGCATTTTATCATGGAATTTTAAAATTAAGCACACACATACACACACACTACCCAAAATGTATATTCTGCTCCCAGAAAGCTGTCCTTCGGTACTTTTGCGTGGTGCTGCTTGGAAACCCATGTTGATAGTCCTGCGTTGATCTCCAAAATCATTCTGGAAATTGTGCTGGTTGGTGAAACCCAGAGGTCTACAGCCACTGGTGTCGCCCTTCCTTGGTCCTTTTCATCTAAAGTAGCCCGTGATGTATCCAAGTCTACTCAGTTGGAAAGTTCCCTGGCAACCAAGACTAAAGCCCTGTCTCCAGATGCCTGGCTACGTCCAAGGTTGGCTCGAGGCCAGGTGACCCACTTGCCTGACATTTTCAAGAGACATGGACAGGAAGGTGGGATGCCATGGGCACAGGCCAGGTAAATCTGAAGACCAGACCTCTCTCGTGCCTGTGAAGAGAAAATCATTAGCTCAGTTCCCTGTATCATAGAGTGACAAATTCAAACAAAAAGAGGGCTGGCTCAAAGAAGAAACAGCAGGGAATGATTATTTAGGATTAAGAGTCTTGTTTCTAGACATATGTGGTAAAATATTGTCCAGATTAATTTTATTTGCTTCCTTTGATGAAGCCAAATTAACTTAAACCAACTGTTAGAAGAACTGCTGGTTATTAACACTACTGTCACAAAGTCTAAAATGTTCACCCCAGAGGCTTCCCGGTTAAAAATTCCAAAGTGCCTTTAATAATTAAGAATCATTGTAATAACTACATTCATTAGCAATTACACCTTGGTAGGTTCTAAAACTTGGTAGGTTCTAGAAATTTCAAGTGGAAAATTTCTACCCAGTTCCTCTCCTCTCTTCTCTCGAGGAGTACATTTCAAAGTCATGGATTCTAACTAGACAATGAAGAAAAGTACTAACCCAGGGCAGGCATTACCTCCAGGGCACCTCCCAGGAGCCCTAGACAGAAGCATTTCCTCGGGACTACAGAAGCAGAGAGCTGACCTCATAAGAGAAAGAGCAGAAAGACTTTGGCGATAGTTACCTGTCAATTGCTAACAACCCATTATTTCTGAGTGTGATGTGAGAGTGTTTCTGGCCGGAATTAGTAGTAACATCTATACATAGGTGGAAAGACGGCTGCTGCCACTAATGTCAGAGGGCATCATCCAGTTTGTGGAGGTGAACTTGTCCCCACTGTACCGTCTGCCTTCTCTGCCCCAACACTGGAGCTCGTACTTTTAGGCTTCTGGACTTAGAGCAGCCGTGACTCCATCAGCTCCTGGTCCTTCCGAGGCCGGGTTTGTTCTAGAACCGCCTCAGTCCTCCACCCTGCAGTGAGCAGATCCCTGAGCCTCCGAGAGCTAATCCCTCATAATACGCCTCTTGCCATACCTTTCTGTATCCTACCCATTCCGCTTCTCTAAAGAAATCCGACACAGCCGTCTAATCCAATGACTCCCTGAGTCACGTTCAGGCAGAGTCAGCCTGCTAACACCCTCACCATGCAGAGTGTCGACACACACACGTGCTTTTAATTATATTCTCTTTTGTACCTTTATATTTCCCTTATAAAAGCTCTTGGCCCCCAAAGCACATTGGACTACATGAGCACACAACAGCTGTCAGTCACACACAGAGTGATTAGCTGGTGTATACAATATGTTACGGCACCACATCACCCGGGAGTAAGATACCGCTTAAGGAGGAAAGGCCCTGCTTGGGCAAAGGGACGCTTCACCACTCAGCCGTATGGCCCAGACAGTTATTCACTGCTCCCAGTCTCTGTTACCTCTTCCATGAATTGGCAGATGCAGAACACAGACTCTGTTAAGTTCCCTGCAGCCTTAGTACTCAAGCTCCATACACGGACAAGTGACTTCATAACCAACAAAACCAAGCATGTGTGCCCCAGCCGGAGGTTAGCAGAATCTGCGGCTGGCCGTAGCCAAACTTAGACTTTAATGTGGGGTTCCTTTTACAGTTGGTTTTGGAATACAATCAAAACCCAAAAGGAAGTTAGATTCCAATCCTTAAGAAGGTCCAGCCATCGATTTCTAAGTACAAAAGATAGATTTGCAAAGCCTTAGGCCTAGAGGGAATGACAGCTGTGGGCCAGCAGAAAGGCTGCACGAGATTGGTAAGGAAGCAAAATCCCAATGCCAGGCTCTGAGGTTCCAGGCAGTCATACAGCCTGGTCTGAGGGCCACCCACACCAGCCACCAGATTTCTGTGGACAGGACACACATACCCTGAGCTATGCCTCCTCTGCCTCATGCTATAAAAAGCAAGTTGGCCCCAGACCAGCCAAAAGCATAAGCATTTATCAGAACACTGATGGGCTTTCAGGCATCAAAAGTCTTGCTCTCTGAATGGGGGATGAAGAGGGAAAAGGGAGCAGGTCTTTGAACAATATGGCACAGCTTGAGGGCCTGCCTGGGGTGGCTGGGAATTAAAATAATCAAAATCAATGGTAATAATGTGCTCAGGAAGCAGCTCTACAATGCAGATTCCCCACTCGGTAGTTAGCTCACTAATGACATTAGCTAGTATGAAATACAAATAGGAGAAAAACAATCTAAGCCAATTATACTGATTATGCTTCTGACATCAAAAGGTGCAGCAGATGAAGCTGAATTTCCATATATTAATATGTAAGCCAGCACCTACTACAGAGTACAGCACATAATGAAGGCCCACTAGATTTCAGTACACACAGCTAAAATCTCTAATCAAGCGAAAAAACAATTTTCTAAATGATAATTAGCAGTAATCATGTTCTTTAAGTGCAGGGTATTATGAAGTACAAACTGAATTTAAAAAAAAAAATGTAAATAGCAAATTTCCTTGTTCTGGCAGCAACAAAGCAGATGTAAGGGCAGAGGCGACCAGCACTGATCTAAGCCATCTCCAGTCAAGAAAAGAGTTGCATCAGTGATTGGGATGATCAAAAAGTGCATTGACTTTTATCAGAGCCAGGCTTGACTGGGTGGAGGGCTCTCTGCTTGAGAGAAAGGTGGGCGGAATCAGGAGGAGGCAGCAGAAGTGGGAGGAAGGACTTAACCCCTTACCTCCTGAGGT